TGCTTTAGGTAAAGTTTCCCCTTGACATTTAGCCCATTCACGTCCAACTCTAGGGCGCGGTCCTCATCCCCGTTTCCAAGCCGTAGAGCCAGCGTTTGTTTGTAAATGATTTTCCTGAATCAGCGATGCAACCTATATAAAAGTGTGCCATACTTAAATTCCTAGTCCTCTTAATGAGGGGGGGGTGATAATAAAACTGCATCAGTGTATCTTCTGGACTGTGATGTAATGAACACATATGATTTATCCAACTCATCACCGTCCTGGATTACATGGGACTGAATAGGTATAACAGGCTTCCGTAATGACTGATGTATAAGCAATGAATGAATGAATGAATGAATGAATGAATGAATGAATGAATGAATGAATGAATGAATGAATGAATGAATAAAGTTATATACTGTACATATTTTTTTTACCAAAAACAAGCCCACAAAAGAAGCCCTACTATTGTTTGATCTTAATGGAAGCACGTGAACCACAGAACATAATATTCTGTTTTGTCAAGAACGCAGCGGTAAGAATGGGTCACACCCACCACCTTTTTGTTTTGTTTTGTTTAGTACCCTTTTGTGAACATCAAGAACAGGGTCTGTCATCCTTAATTTCTTTTTACACACCAACTTTTTTCTTCTTTCCTTTTCCTGATTGTTGGAAGAAGTGGGAGGAAGAGGAGACCCAGGTGTTCTATGTGAGATGACTGGAGGTATGAGAAGATATAAAGGGAATGAATGAATGAATGAATGAATGAATGAATGAATGAATGAATGAATGAATGAATGAATACGAGAAACCTTATGGCTGCTTTTTAAAAAAATAAATGGAAAGCAGATTGGGCCACAAATCTCCAGTGCTTTGTCTCTAGTTTCAGGTACTTATAGTGGTTCTGCCTGTGAGTTTGATCAACAGCAAGATGTAGCAACACAAATACCTGCTTCCTAGATAAAACTGAGGAAGCTTTCAAGAGCAGCTCATGATGACATGGCATGTAGTCTGCAGATGAAAGAGAAAGGAAAAGAAAAACCCACCTGGCATGCTCATGTTCTTTGAGCATTACTAAATTAATCTCTGCAAAATGGATATATTATATCTCACCTCGGGTTTGGCTTCGCCCTCTAGTAGCAGATGAACCTGTGGAAAGGAACAGAAATATTAAATTCAAGTGGTAGATGTTTAATTTGGAACAAAGGATCATTTTTATTGTGCCACCAAGGTCTCCAGAAAATTGACTACAACCCTTAATGTTGGCTTTAAAAAAAATTAACTCTAGAAATAAAAATCAAGTAAGATTGTGTCTTAGTACAATATAAATGGGTTTTTGAGGTTTAAAAGTAATGCAACATACTGGAAATCTCTCACCATTCTCACAGAGACAATCAAATCATTATATTTGTTTATGATTACAAGTGATGAAACACAAGCTGCATGGTGTTGTGACTTTTTTGAGTTATTGCAGCCTCCCAAGAAAGTATGAAATATTCAAGAATTTCCTCTTACCTAAGGAAACTGAAGGATGCAAATCCAGTTTGTAGTAATTCCTAATTTGATGCTCCAAAATGGAATGTGATTCAGTGGCATGTTCTGTTATGCAGTTGTTAGAGAGGCTGTATATTTTTTTGCCATCATATTGCAGTTGCCAATTACCGTAATAATGATGACATTTGTTCTACAAAGCTATGTTGCTAAGCAAAACGACAATTAATGTCACTTCAATAAGATTGTTTCAGTCACAATTGTGTTCCCTCAATTATGTGTACCTTCCTTCCTCTCCCATTGGCAGCAATGTGGGAAAAGTTTTCTAAAAATACTGCTGCTCATGATATTTTCTGTGAATGATAATTCATTCAACACTGTCCAATGCCTATGACATCCTGAACAGCAGCTCCAGAAATGCATGTGGTTGTGATGGACACCCACCCACCCAGATACTGAATGACATTGTATTTTTTTTCTGTGCACATTTTCAGACTTTCACATTGTAGAGAAGATATAAGAAGATACTGGGGCTGAGAAAGCATTACAAGTTGAGTTACAGAATTAGACTTCTGTCTATTAAACTCTCTATCCTCTCCTGCTCTGTGCAAATTTCTAGGGCCTGATTTGCAAGGTTCTTCCACTGATGTTGCACAACTACAAATGGAAATTCTAGAACTACAGTTCTAGATGGCTGTTGGATTTGCTATGAGATTTCAAGCACGGGAGCAGGACCAACCATACCAATAGACAGAGAGAGGCAGCTAAATTTTGGTGTCATGAAGTGAAAGCAAAATTTTACTTATTTAATTTATTGTTGTATTTTTAAAATCTATCACTTATGAGATTTGCTGCCTCAGATGTCAAAATAATTTGACCAGACTTGGTGCATGCCCAAACACATGACATATGCATTTCTTATCTACTAAATTATTACTATTAGAAAAAAAAATCTATTTACTTTTAATAAAAGACTCTCCAACACAATAAATTGTGACAATTAAAAATGTATGCAAATCAATGTTATTTGTATAGAGGAAGAATGTGAGGATTATTGAACCCATGAATGCTAAATTCCTTGTCTGTAAAGCATTTAATATGTTCATTTCTGTAAGGTGAGTTTCACATTACTATTAATAATAGAACAGTACCAAAATCTTTTCTTGGAAATTCTGGTGAAGAATTTGCACTGGAACTCCCTGCAAGAGAAAGAGAATATTTCACTGGAAAACTTTACTGCATGTTGTTTCATATTGCAACAAAGCAGCTCAATATTCAATATCAGCACAGCAACTGATCTCAAAAGGGCAATAAGGATAATCTGGTGCTTTATTTTTAGATTAAACAGCGTCTGAAAGATAGGAGTAGAAGCTCTATTGATTAGTCTACTAAATAAATGAGGAAATAATTAACTGCCACTGCTGGAGTGTTATGTTAGATGGAATAGTATCATGTCCTAATGCAAATGGTAAAAAGATCAGGAATAAGTACCACAGCAGATATCTTTAATTTTTGGTCTACAGGATTCAAGAAGCCATCAGAGGAAGAAATGTGTCCAAACTTTTAGGAAGGGCAGTTATACATGGACAGGTTCTTATGACAGAATGATCATTCAATATAATCCAAATTTCATTTTTCCTTGATACTGTGATACCTTCATATGTTGCATGGCGGGTGCCATAGATTTTTCGTTCAAAGGTGGAGCCAGGTGATTTGGGGACAGTAGAGGAAGGAGCAGTGGCTTGCTTGTAGGAGGAAGAGGAGGTATTCATTCTAGCATTTCCACCTATAGATGAAACAAAACCTCCTCAGATACAGGTGCAATGGATTGGACTTTGCTGGGATATAATCTTAGGCTGCAAAGATGATCACTCTCACTATCGTGTTCTCTCTCTTTGTTGTGAACACGTCAAGTGTGGATTTAGTTTGCCAAATTCTAGAGAGACCACCTTAAACTGTTGTCATGGAAGGGAAAATTGGCGCCCACCGAGGTTTTGAAGACTCAGCAGCTTTCTCCTTAAAGGAGAGACTGTATGAGACTTGCTCCTGAGAAAAGACCAGGCTCTTAGCTAACATATAATTTAGGGAGATACTTACATGCTGCTGCTGCTGCTACCACCACCACCACCTATGACCCATCAAGTCAATTCTGATTTATAGTCATCCTTTTTCAATATTTTCTAGATAGAGAATACTCAGGAGTGGTTTACCATTCCCTTTTTCTGGGGGCATCCTGGGGCTATGCAGCGTCCCCAGGACCACATAGGCCGGCTCTTCTGGGAGGCACATTGGGGAATCAAACTCCTAACCTTTGCAGCCAGATACCTAACTCACTGAGCTATCCAACTATCTTACACAGTATATACCCAACTCTTATTTAGATCCTATAGATCAATTTCACACGTACAAGCTTCAGTAACACTATCATATCTGACCCTCCTAAGCATGCACTAAGCCCAGCCCGCTTCAGTTCTTATTCCATCACTTGATTTGACTTAACTGATTAACAAACGCAGACTTTAAATTACAGTGGAAGTTGATTTTGATGTCAGCTAGATTTACTTAAGGATTTTACAAAGCACTTTCTTCCCATAACAGCCTGGTGTGATGGTTAGGCAACCTGTGTAGATCACATTCTAAATACGTTCTATCTTAGGGCGGAAAAGTCATGCTTCTAAGAACCGTGGGAGGGATAAATATCAGGATATAACTTACAAATTAACATGTCCATGTTTAAATATTGCACCATGCAATCCAATGCTCTTTTATAGATTGAATCTTAGTGGATTATACAGTAGTTGAATTATTTTTGCCACTACTTGCTAGTAAGAAAGACAGTTCTGGTTTCTCCTTCCTCTGGCTAATAAACAAGCCTTCCCCTCAAAGATGGAGTTTGTTGTGGATTTTAAAAACAAAGAAAAACTGAAACTTGCAAAAAGACATCGTGGGCAATTGGTTTATTTTGCTTGGAATTATATGGCTTATATGTAGTTTGCCAAAAGACCTGGCCACTGTATAACTTTTTGCCCTTAGATATTCCTCAGATCTCCAAACAGAAGGATGGTTGTGATCTAAGAAGACACAGTCACATGAATAATGAGTGAAAGCCACCCTCCAATTTATGAAAAGAGAATATGTCCTTTGTAGCCTCAGCAGAGGCCTGGTCTCAAAAATCTGAGACAAGTATCATTCAGTGGCTTCCCCATTGCACTGCTCCTAGAACACTGAACTTTTGTTAGGAAGCTTCTCCCTTACCCCCTCCCACAACTCCAGCCCATCCAACTAACACAAAAAACCAAGAAGCAGACTCAGGAACACCAGGAGCCTTTTCACTCAAGAAGCTTGGCTTCAAATACCATGTATCTGAATATGGAAATACACTTCTACATACAGGTAACTGAGGCAGTTGGAAAACAATGATATCCAAAAAGCCATTTCAGCCAAAGAATCTTAGAAGATAACATACTATTTCTTCCAGATGAAGAGACTGATTCACTTGAAAGAGATATCTGAAGTATGAAGAGCGCTACAACATGAGGATTTATATAGAATTTGGACTACAAACAGAGCTTGGAATGTTGCATTTTAAAAACAACTTGTTCCACTCCTAATTACTTATTGGCATCTGTTGTTATGTGCCATGAAGTTGGAATTGTCTTATAGTTGGAACCAACCTATAGCGACAACAGAACTTTCAAGGTAGAAGAGGTATTTAAGGAGGGTTTTAGCAGTTACATACACCAAGTGAGTTTCCATGGCTGAGCGGGGGATCAAACCCAGTTCTCCTGAGTCCTAGTCCATTACACTATCCACAACTCCACACTGGGTACTGCTCTTGGCATCTAACGTACCATTGTTATTGTTGTTCCAGTAAGCAGGGGTGGGCAAAATGCGGCCCTCCAGATGTTGCTGAACCGCAACTCCCATAATTCCTAGCCCACACAGCCAATAGTGAGGAAATTTGGGCCTAGCCCACAAAGCCAATAGTGTGAGGAGAGTTGGGCCTAGCCCACACAGTGAGGAATGTTGGGATTTGCAGTCAGGAACATCTGGAGGGCCGCACTTTGCCCAGTTCTGCTTGAGTAATGGAAGTATCAAACATCATTAAATTGTTGCATTGTGCGTTCAAGCAGACTAAGCTGATAGTCTCTGGTTCCCTCTAATGGCTATTTCTAATACTGGAACTTGAAAATATTGACAGAATTATTAAATATAAACCCAAAGAATACTTCCCTTGTCAATTAGGATTGATAAGACACAAAACCTGGAAAATTTATGCCAAAATGCCTCTAAAATGTATTCAAACTGTCCTTTAGAAGTAATATTTGCAATTAACTAGATGTTACTCATTATACCTATACAGTATATCTCTATATATCTTAGGTCTGAGTCAATAAATCTAAAAATTAATTTTGTGTTAAACTACTTCCTGTTCAGAAGTAACTAATTATAGAAAAGGCACACAAAAACATATTCCTTGTAACTAGTTACTGCCAAGCTCTGACCACAACTTCCAGAATCCTACAGTTAAGCATGCTGGTGCAGGTAGAGGAGTTGTGAGAGTTTAAGGCCCCTAAAAAGTAAAATTTCCAAGTTCTTGTTTCATAATGTTCCAAGGTGTTGGATCAGGTGTATATTCTGGAAGCTATGTAGAGGTTATGCTCTAAAATAGCCAATTCATTTTGGAACTGTCCAAAGAAGACTGTGACATCCCTATGTGAACATGAATGTTCTCTGAGACATGGCTATTCTAGAGCTAAGAAGTCACTTTATATGCAACTGTTGTTTTTTTTTTTACTGAGAGCAGTCACTCTTGAGTCTTCTGTGCCCTTACATGTTTAGCTCAAGATATAACTTCAAGAGAAAGTTGATTAGCCTTTCAAAGAAATGTAATTATATGTACAATGATATTTTCTGTGCAATATGTGTTTAGAGAATCCCTGCCTTAAGAGGCAACATTTAAAAACTGGAAACATAGTTTTTATATTTTTGTGGCAAGCATTTATCACAATAAAAAACCTCAGGGAGGGATTTTCCCCCTGCCTTATAGTCGTCTTCCAACAGTGAATGTCTTTGCAATTAATCCATTCACATTACTTCCCCCTTACTTTCATGATCCCCCCTTGATGTTGTTTTGATTTGTTAGCTTGAGGATCACTTACTGGCTGTGACATAGCTGCTCCCATGGGTGTATGTCCGCTTCTCCACTCCACCTCCTCCGCTATAAACTGTTGTTTTGAGCCCAGTGCTACCGCCTCCTTCTGTCAGAGAAAGCAAACACAAGTTATGTGTGAGAAAAGGCACAAGAACACATTGCGGTGGAGGTGATGAGGGCCTTTAGTCTTGCCATACAACTTAGATATGCTTCGTGCATATGATCATTTATGAAAGAACTGCTGGCACTGGAGCAATTCCAAAAATGTGTATTACATGTCTGTGGATGTGCAAATCATTCTGGACCAATACTGACCCAGTAGCTTCCCTCCAAAAGATGATGCCACCACCCACTCAGGGCTTTAAATGATCCTGAGGCCTTATGACAGGAAGGAAAGTTGATGCAGCTATTCCAGATGGGGTTTTGGAGAGGAAGGGAAATTATGAGGAACACTTGGAACATAAAAATAAAATTAGTCATCCAAACATTGCTATTATGATGTGAAAGATGTGGCTGTATGTGAGGGACGTATGGGCAGACTGAAGGCAAAGAAATATCAAGAAGGACAGTGGTGCTGGATGAATTTAATTGAGGAAGGAGGTGGTCTTAAAACAGGTCTATGACAAAATGGAGGCCCTCACAGTAATATAAAGAGAAATTAGCTGTGTATGTACAGTAGATGTACACATAACTGAAGTGCTGGAGCTAAGGGGAGGAAACACCCTCCAGATCTAAGGAACCTAGTCCTCTGTTTAAAGAAAAAATGTGGAGATTGGTTGATTTCAAACAACATTAACGTCATGGCCCATGGTTCAAGATTATACATGGAACTGGGTTTTGTTTTAAACACTATTTTGAGAAGTTGGATCCAACTTTTATGAACTCATTCTTAGATGAGTTCTGTGAATTCTTTCACACAGAGGGAAGAGCCACACAGACGGAAGAGTTAATGTGCTGCTAACTTTGATCCATGTCTCTCCTATTACAAGGGCAATATTTCAAAAACCACTGAAAGAAATACAGTAGTTTTTTTATTTCCCAGTTGGATATGTGATCTTGGGGGCACAAGAACATCCAAGGGACTGTGAAAAAGAGACATGGATGTGTATAAAATAAAATGGAGGCACATGCTTTTCTGACACACACAGGGCTGGTGGGTGCAACTGCCACTTACTTGGGGGAAGAGATGTCAGTCTGGTGGTAACAGTTTCTGTGATAACTGGAAATAAAGAGGGGAAAAAGATAATTTTTTTATCATTGGGCTGATCCACACTTTTTGAAATAGGTAAGTTGCAAAGAGTTGACACCCCCTCCCAATATCCCAGTATTCAAGTATTAATTAAAGGGATCAGTCGATGAAAAGGCTCACAGTTGACATTAAATGAAAAATACCAGAAAAATACTATATTTTTAATACAGCTATGTACAGAGAGTGCGTTCAGAAAACCACTTAACCATGGAAAGATGAAGGGGGAAAATGCCTGTGCCCTAGCTAACTTTATGGGAAAATACTTTGCTTACGTCGTTCTGTGATTTCTGTTCCATCTCGCTTGTTTTTCTTTGTTACAGCATCCATATCATTTCTACCTGAAGATAAAAAGAAAAAAAGAAATGTAAGCTTTCTCATGACTTTGTTTTCTCCCTTTCAGTGGCTAAATGGCTCTCTAATTCCTCCCCTCCCATCCCACAGCAGATGATTTTACTAGCCACTCAATACAAGCCATATATTTTACTACACAGAACACCATGGCCTGCTCCATAAAGATATGTGTGTGTGATCATGGTTGATGTACTGAAAGTGTAAAGTGCACAGCAAATTTAAACTACTCTCTCCACATATGGACACAATTATTCTTACAAAGGAAGTAAATGTTAGGAAGTATTATATACATTTAGAAGTACAGTACATGTTTAGAGATAGTGTCCTTGGCATTGGTTCTTTTTCTTCTTCCTCCAAATGGTAATCTTTCCAAGGTGCCAGAATTTTTAAAATCTAAAGCTAGTGATCTTTCCAATGACATTTGGCAGGCTAGGGTCATGGGAGAAGGTCTAAGAGGTCAAATGAATGGCATATAGGCACAATTGGAGGAAAGGTTTATGTTATCTCAGCTTGTGAACCAACAGTGTCCTCTCGTGGCAGTTCAGCGATATACCCAGAGTTTGTCATTTCCTCCCTATGTCTTATTTTAGTCCACAGCTTTATTCTTCAGAATGTTTCTATATCACAACAGTAGAAGTATCCACATATACACCAGATAAAATATTCCATTTTAATTCATCATGAAGCTTAGGATTTTCTTTTCCCTCACTTTCATTTTACATCTGTCAATAGAAAAAAAATACTGTGCCAATCTGGTGTGAGAACTAAAGAAAGATTTAAAAATAAAATGGCATGTGAGTATTTGCACGTGAAAAAGTCTTATGTTTTCCTTAAGATGCCGGAGAAGAGTATCAGGAGACAGGCATCTCGTTGGCTCGTATGCTCCCAGAGGCATCTGGTGGGGCCCCTGTGAGATACTGGAAGATGGACTAGATGAGCCCTCAGCCTGATCCAGCAGGGATCTTCTTATGTTCTTTTGTCAATAAAAAAAAAGTAGCTGCAAAGAGGTTATTTCACATACAATGTGAAGAAGAAGATGCTTATAAAAGGAGTGGGCAATGATGGTTGCCCACAGTTTGCAAGAACCATGAATGATAAGATTATGGGACTTGCAATTCAAAAACACGGTGGTGGTGGGGAACTGCCATGACCCTGACCACTATGAGAACTAGTCTGTGTGAGATTTAGTTAATTGTGAAATAACAATTGCATGCCATCAAGTCCAGTTATAACTTATGGTGACTCTTTTCAGGGGGTTCCTGGTAAATCAGTTATGACTTATGGTGACTCTTTTCAGGGGGTTCCCGGTAAAGAAGTGGTTTACCACTCTCTTTTTTCTGGGTGTGCCCTGGGACTGTTCAGCTTGCCCAAGGCCACACAGACTGGCTCTCCTTGCAGGAGGACAAGGGAAATCAAACCCTCAACCTCTGGCTCTACAGCAAGATACCTAAAACTCAGATAACAATAACAATCCCTTGTTAATTTCAGGTGTGTGTGTCGGGGGTGGGGGCAGAGATCATGAAGAGAAACCTAAACATGTTATCAGAGGGTGGAACAAAGCATGAGAGATCAGAAATGGGGCACACCGGGATAGCCAGGCCAGCGACAAGTTCCTTTCTTGCAAGCTGTCAAGGAGTAGTGGTTATGTAGGAATTTTCATTTTGTTTATATAGTGTTTGTTGTGACCAGCTGTGATTGACTTCAGGATGGCTCTAGGAAAGGCAAGTAATTTTCCAGGAGAGGCCACTCACCCACACAGCCCTGCAGTGGTCACCAACCTTGGCTTCCAGATGTTCTTGGACTTCATCTCCCAGAAATCCTGGCCAGCAGAGATGGTGGTGAAGGCTTCTGGGAATTGTAGTCCAAGAACATCTGGAGGCCCAAGGTTGGGGACCACTGCTGTAGTGCCAACTCTAGAGAAGTTGCCTGTTTTGTTACATTTTGTTTAGCTGCCAGTAAATTGTTATCGTATTTTAACAGCTAGGGATGTTGAGACATGTTTACAGGATTTTCTGCCCCTTGTACCAAAATCATATGGCTGGCTTTCAGTACCAGGTACCATAGCAATTGTCTGCTGAACCCAGGGAAGGTGGGAACATTGCCAGTGGGAGGGACTCCATCCCTCCCACCTACATGCATTCCTTATCATATGAAGAGGGCTCCGAATGCCTTTGTGATGACTTCGAAAATTGGTTGGCACATGCTGAAAGAGTGATAGATTGGTTTAAAATTGTGAAGGAATTTCTGCTTAGGGCCAATTGGTTAAAAAAACCCCACCCACAACAGTTTCTTCAACAGCATAATTCCTACATTTTGTATGGGATTGTTGATATACAGTACTTTTATCCACCCACAACAGTTTCTTCAACAGCATAACAAAACTTCCTACATTTTGTATGGGATTGTTGACATACAGTACTTTTATATATATGTAAAGATTGTTCCCGCATAGTCAAACTGTTATATATGAAGTAGCTCTCGGAGTAAACCCATCTAAATTAACCTGAGCTTTCTTGCAGCTGAAAGCTGTGCCCTATATTGTCAGGATAAGAGATGCCTGAGGCGTTTCAGCAAACCCACAGCTTATTAAAACTTGAGTCATAAGTAGAGTCATAATAGGAATTAACACTGAACAAGCACTGACAGTGAAGGAAGATGTTTGAATGATGCACCCAGAAGGATAGAACAATATCGCCCTGAAGCAAGACCCAGCCCAGCCTTTGGGGAGATTTTGCCTCTCAATTGCTTCCCTGCGTCACTATTTTAGCTTCTGTTGTCTCAAATTTCTTTTTTATGTCTTCTCCATTTTTGAGACTAGCTTTCAGGTTTCAGGAGATGTAGTGTGATATAAAGAGGAGAGAATGGAAAATTATGAATTAAAATTTTAATAAATACTCCACTCACAAGCAAACTATACCAGAGGACAGAGTCCTATCCTCTGAAGATGCCAGCCACAGAGACTGGCGAAACGTTAGGAAGAACAACCTTCAGAACATGGCCAAAGAGCCCAAAAAACCCACAACAACCAAAATTTAAATTCTCCCTCAGGTATGGAGTTTTCTGAGTAACCTCAGGCCAGTCTTAGCCTAATCGGCTTCACAGATTTGCTACAAGGGTACAGTGAGAAGAGAAAGGACCATGAAATCTACCTTGAATTATTTTGGCAGAAAAGACAAAGAGAATTGAGCTTTTAAGGAAATGTAACAATCACGTTTGGACTTGTATGCTGCTAAGGAGGAATCTGCTCCACTACCATTTGCCACCAAGGCCCAAGGTTCGAAAAAATGTTCTCTAATCCAGAAGCACTGTACCAGTCATTCCCAAACCAGTGCCCTTCATTCTATTGGACCATAACTCCCATCATACCCTGCCAGAAAGTCCAATGCTCATGCATGATGGGAAATGTAGTCTAAAACAATTTCAATGGTGTGAAGTTAGGGTACACGTCCTTCTTACAAGAAGAATGCCCCTGCCATTGCTTACTCACTGTCCACAGAAAAGCTGCATACATGCTCAGGGTTATTCTTCTTAAAATCATTATTCAGCCTATTTCTGCATATTAAAAACAACATCTGAGGCTGTGAGCTAGTACTGCTTAAGCTCCTTATTACTCCAATATGACTGCAGACAGCTGTCAGGTAAGTTTGTAGATTTGTTTCACTGACTGGTTTCCACAAAACAGAAAGGTTTTTTTGCCTCTGATGTAAACATTCTGAGATGGTAGATATGGCCAGTGTTTCCAGAATTTCCCCATCTAGGTGTCATCCTCTTTCAGCATTGCACACTTACCAGTCAAATTTACCTTTACAGCTACTACTGCCTGTACCAGTTGGACTGCTGTTCATAGCTTTTGAGGCCTGTTAGCTACTTCCTTACATTAGTGATGTGCATCTGCAGAGACCAGCTCTCTCCTTAGGTAGTGTTAAAGGTTTCATATGTGACGCGAAAGCAAATTTGATCCTATCTTCATTTTTCAAGTTTCACATAAATATTCATCATGTGGAAGGAGATTCAAGGACTATCCAGTTCAAAACCAATTTAAGGCTAAAGAAAACTGATAGTAAAGTTGCCTAATAACACTTAATATTTGCACAGCAACACCCAGGCCACTATTTTAAAGTTATAACTATAATTTGATACTTCTCTTCCAGTGATAATAATTATTTCTGCTTTTGCCTCTAGATATACCTGAAAATGCTGGTATAAATATATAAATCACCACATGCAATTTTTATACAAATGTGTGATCCTCTTTTTTTGGTGACACATCTCATTTCTGGTAATATGTAAATCCTATTCAGCACAATGGTCTTCAAATATAGTAGGGCTGCCCTACTACAAGTAAGTGAGTGAATAAATGGGTGAGTGAATACACATTGACAACTACAATGGCAAGGTTAAGCCTAACATTACCATCCCACCAACATTATAGGCACTGAGGCAATTTAAGTATCACACATTAAAATTAATGTATTGCTTTGCCTTCATTTTCTGCTCAGAGAAGTTCTAAGTGATTCAGGAATTTTGAAACAATGGCTCATCTACTAGGAGTGAAGAGGGTAGCACATAAGTTCTAAGTGATTCAGGAATTTTGAAACACTAGCTCATCTACTACGACTGAAGATGAGCCAGAAATTCTTGTGGGTTGCTTCTCACTTCTAACATCAGATTGTGTTGCTGTTTTTATTTATAGTGTGTATACCTTAAATTCCAACAAGATGGACTTGGGGCAGCTAAGAGTATAATATTAATAAAACAGTTAAAGCAAAAACTCAAACAATAACAGCAGATATATCATAATCAGCAGCACCATCTTAGAAGTGCAGAGCAGGAAGGGACTCTATGGATTATAAAGTCTAGCCCCCGTCAATGAGCACAGAGGGGGACCCTATGGATTATCAAGTCTAGCCCCCGTCAATAAGCACAGAGAGGAATGTTGAACCCCCAACCTCTGACTCTGCGGCCAGATACCTAAACCACTGAGCTA